CCTATTGACCATGCAGATTGAGTCTTATTTGTTTTACAATGCTATCGGTGTGGATTGAATTGCTATTGTATTACTCCTTTTTCCTTCTTTTTCTCTCCCCTCGGTCAGCTAAAACAGATGAGTTACACTGATCGGTAAAGACAGCGTAGCATTATGGAATGGATAGGATGATTGCAGAAGTAACTATGAGGGTGGGTAATGAGCAAGAGACGGTGGAGAGAGTTGAGGAGGCGCCCCTCAACCGGAGCCGAGAGTAGCATTAGAAGATGCCAGATAGGGGTGGTCTGGAGCCAGTGGGGTCGCACCCACTTGCAGCGATGGTTAGATGCCCGATGAGACTAAGGGGTGATACAGAGGTAGTTGATCGTTTATGGAGATACAAGTAACAGATTCTAATGCAAATTTAGTGATTGAATGAACCAGCTAGTTACGCATTCATGTAAAAGTTGGGAGTGACATGCTCGCCACTTAGAACCGGTGCCATTGTACCAATAATAAGGCTTGATTTACTTCCCCTCTCAACACATTCGCTTGCATTTAATGCCCCAACATTTTCACACATGTTTCACGTCACAAATACGTAATGTGCATACTTTTCCAGCTCAACAGTGACTGGCAACACTGAGTCATGTCACTAACGTACCAATGAAGTTTAAAACAGCGTAGCAGGTGGAGGATATACTTGGTGGGGAAATCTCTATATCTAATTCGTTTATTGAACAGTTGTGGTGCCACAATCCCCTACCCACTGACAGCAAACATGTTTAGGGAAATTCGGTTTTGAAAAATTTTCCTCAAACGCAGTGCAGTGGTAGACGACATTTGTGTCGTTTGAAACATGAGAGCAAATAGCAACTGCAAACGATCGACGTTCCGGATACGCAAATTAGCCCTCAAGCGGACGAATGAGAGGCCAAATGTTCGTCGAACCATATCGTGTGTGGCCCCCTAGGGAATTCCTTTTGAATAGGCCAATGTAACATGTACTTTCAAATTTCACCTAGTATATAAAAATATTTAACAAACACTCACTCCAATTCGATCTGACATTGATTCAGCACCATCGAAGTAATGCTGCCTTAGACAGAGAAAATGAATTCCTGTGCTCTTACTTGCATGATCTTACGGCTTTGGAAAATAATTGCATCTCAGCCTAAGTGCACGAGAGCGAGGAGCATAGGCTGACAGGAAAACGAACCACCTCTACTCTGCCATGGTTCCGTTGAAGTAACGGCCACACAAAGCCAAGGGTATTTTCTTTGAACAATCGAAGAGAGCAAAATCAAATGTCACTGCAGGTGCCTCTTAGAAGTGTGGCCAAAGAGGATTCAGACAACAGTAAGAAGGTTGGAAAGAGGAAAGAAAGGCATGCGAAGAAGCGAGGTCAAAGAGGCGGTAAGCAAAAGCTAACACTTATATGAGAGTTTACCAGAGGCTTGCATTTGAGCTTGAACCTTTCCCTTCATCTTGGGCAAACGAAACATGCAAACATGTGCAGCCAAACGTTTCGGACCCTCTGACATAGTTTTGCATGTCTTATCAATTTGCTAAATCAACTATGCTCACACACTGTACTGAGGAGAGCTTTTAAGCAGCCAACTATTCAACCACCTGTGCGACTGATGTCCCAGTACTTCTATGCAATGATAGTGATGATATGTCTAATGCCTATTAACCTTTGCGACGCATTCAACTTGATGTCAGTGAAGCTGAAAAGTAGGGTTTTTGTCAAAGTGCTTAGCTCTGTGTGACGGCGAGTGCAAAGCTAGCACAATAATAGACGAAATTTCAAATCCGCCGAATAAGAATTCCTAACTCTCTTATTTTACAAGAAGTAAACAAGGAAACATTGTAGACATGATAGCTTTGTACTTCGGTGACGGCTAAGGAGCATTAATGCAGCGCTGATGGAACCCCGAGACACCACTGTTTACTTTCACTGCTATGTCATTGAGAAAGATAAACAGCAACCCATTTCAATTCCATCACGGAGACGAACATGGCATTGGCGCAAAGGAAGGTTGGAAGGCTATGGGCATAACTAAATAAAAGTGAAATTAATCAGGTTCTTTATTTTACTGCCTTATTTTATGGAGAAACGAGCTATAACGGGAAGGGTGTCAACAAAGAACCACCACCAACCTTACAAATCCCCAACCACAATGCCTTCTGCATGGCTATACTCAATTACCAACCTCATGTACGCAACGCAGTGACCACATCTACCCACCAATTTGATCGTTAAAATACCTCACAGCCAGCGTGGCTGCCTCATATCAGGGGAAAGCACCCAGTAAGAAATCCTTACTGCCACAAAATAAGTGCTACAG